GATTGTTTATCAAGAAAAAATAGAAAATTATATTTAAATTTTAAGTCTGAGAGTTCCATTTCCAACAATGTAGAGGTGCCGTAATCAACATAAATGTTTGTTTTGTATCTGAGACTCAATCATCATGGGGCTAAGGTGGTTTACACCACCATCTGTGGTCCCTCCCTGGGCACCCTCTTTTTTGGATTCCAGGATTCACCACTGAACTGCATAGTTACCAACCGTCATGATAACGAATTCAGGGGAAATGTATTTAAAATTAGTAAAAATTGGTTTTATTAAATATATAAAGAAGGTCATGCAGTAGCTTGAGTCAATAGAGAGCTTTCGTTTTCTCATTTGAGAATCAATTCAGCAGGGAAAATTTCTCTTTTCCCACCAAAACAACCCAGCCAGTAGAATCTAGTTGCGTGTGGTCTTGCGCGTTCATTATCACAACCAGCCGTTGATGTGACTGGAACCAGCCCACACTGGGGTTCCGACCCTTGAAACCCGGGGCCTGATGCCCCCTCCCCCTCAACTGGTGTAGTCACGCATTTAAAATCTCTCGGGTTGGTAACTATGGAACTGTATCACTCTAATATATAAATTATTGTACAACATATGCTTTAATAATTACAAGAAAATAGAATAGACATTGATTTGATTTGATTGATTGATTTTGATTGATAAATTGGTACTATTTACAAGATCTTCATTATACTGTATATGGCAGAGACCAGCCACGCCAGTCACTCCTTGCATAAGATCAATTTGAAGTTATTAATACAGGGTTAACCAATATAATGAAATTTATAAAATGATAAAATAATCATTTAAATCTGAAATTTCTTATGAAGTAAGGGGTCATCCATAATTTTCAGCATTTTCAGAAGAGTACAAAACATACTCTTTTCTGTGACCCCTTCCTCCCCCGAAAGATTACATAATAAAATGTAAATAAAATGTTAATTTGTGTCATTTTGAGATCAAAATTTTATGTTTTTTTTTATAAAAGAGTACTTATGCTTACATACAACTCCCATACAGCTGTTTGTTGTATTTGTATACTGTACATGTAATAATTTGCATTTGTAGGTTCAACGTAGCAAGGATACCCCAACAATACCCTCAACTATTGGAGAAGAGAAAAAATACAATCCATTCATGCGAGTAGGGTAAGGATATGAATTTACAAATTATGGCAATTTTCCCCTTATTTGAATTTACCCCTACCCCATATGTGAAATTTCCACATGGGGATCAAATTCAATTTTGTACAGTTGTATAACTGTACTTGGCGTAAAATATATTTTTGAATACAGGTCTCCCTCCTATAAAGGACCGCCTTTTGGTCTTTAGCAACTTTTGCCGCTAATTAGAATAATAATAATAATAATAATAATAATGAATAATAACAATAAAAAATAAATAAATATATAATGTTAATAAATAACGCTCTGAGACTTAGTTGTATAGAGCGCTATATAAAAACCTGATTAATATTATTATTTTTATTATTTCAATTACAGAGTTAAGTCTGTGCAAGAACATGTTGGTCAGTCAGATGGAATTGCTACTATGGGAGCACTAAGAACAGAAAAGGATGGTTTCAAACCCAAATCGGCAATATAGACAAGCGTACATTTATATCAATCATGAAAATAATAACAATATTAGTAATGTATCATAATGAGTAACTAATAAAGTTTTAAATTAAGTGTAGATAAGGTGGATTAAATTTTGGTTCATATTAAGCAAGTGACAAAAATATCAAGAAAGTGAATCCTAGACATGGGCGTCGTGATCGTATATTTCCATTCTATTCTAGGATCTGGGCCCAGTTGTCCAAACCAGTTGGGCCTGATCGTGACTGTTTATCACTCAATTTACAAAGATGATTGAGCCCAAAAAGATGATCAAACTTTTTACTTACTTCAGCCATATCACTGACTTTTGCAACACCCATAGAGGCCTAGGCTATGCTACCTTGGCTAAGTAAAGATAGCATGCTATGCTCAATGATTAACAGTTCTAGTGGAGAAAGAAATACACAAGCTTATTTTGTTGTGGGGGGAGCGTATTAAAAAATGTTAACATTTTATGCCAGAGAAAAATTGTGCCACAGGGAGGCTATGCCTTTGCTGCATAGGGTAAAAGGAGTAATTCATATTTACAAAATAGAACAATCATGTTACGCGATTGAATGTATTATACTTGTTGATGATGTCGCAAATTGCGAAATAACAAACAACAACCTTTCTTGTCTGAGCCTAGGCCGTCATGGAAACTCACTGGTTCCTGTGTAATTCATGTTGTGCCAACTGCAGACGAAAAGGTTACAATCTTTTCAGAGATAAGCTGGAAGAAAGTTTTAGAGAGCCCAACAATGGAAAGATTTTAATACTGAAGAATGGAAGTTAGCGATGTCCTCGGCTTACACAAATACTTCAATAACCATGATACAGTTAAGTCGTATATTATAATATGGCCTTAACAGCAGTGAAGCAACAGATGCAACATATTAAATCGATTATTATTATTGTTTTATTTTTATTATATATAAATTCATTATTATTACTTTTTATTGTTAAATTATTAAAATATTATTATTGCTATTATTATTGTGCATATTGTTAGGTATAGGCTGACGTTACTACAATAACTCAATTTACTAGAACAATTCTTATACAGTATTTGTTTATTTACATTTTTGTAATCTTTGAATGATACAGACAGATAATTATTAAATAAAAGTTGATTGACACTTGAATTTCATGTTGATTTTAAATTTTTCCTGTAGCCTATGACAGTGTGGTGGTGATGATTGTTCATTGCAGTAAACAAAATCTTCCGATTCCCTTCAGAGACTGGGTATTTGTTTTAAAAAAAAGTCACAGGTCTTAATCCCAATATTTCCTTCGTGTATGTAATTGCATATACATGATAAGCCTACATAGAATACTGTACTGTATACGCAATAACAAATACTTGACCATTGTGAAATGTACCACCTCTTTCCATCATTATTACGTAGTCAAGATTTTTATCATATTAATAAAGATTAACAATCTTGCTTAACAATAATAGCAACATTTTAACATTACAGTATAATTATAAAAATAATACTAAGACTAATGAAAATAAATTAATGATTATAATATTTATAATAATAATACGGTAATAGCAATGTTAACAATATACAAATATTACAGCAATAATAAAATAATAAAAATAAGCACTTTTTAGAAAAACACGACGAAATTGATGTATGTCGTCAGGCATGAATATTTTCCAGTTAATAATATAAATCTGAATGTAGTTGTTTTTATTGGCAAATGTATTTATTGTAATTTCTTTTCAGTCCATTTCGATCGTTTTCTCTTTTTTTTTTTTTATCCTATTCTGTAATGACTACATGATTAAAGCTCATCCTGCCATATCACAGAGCCACGATTGGAAAAGCGAGACTATCTGCTTTGGCACTACTTAGTAGTGAGCGTGATGAAGCAGACAACATTGCTAACTTTGATCATGTTATTAACTTATTTGCTGATGCAAAAGTACACAAAATTCAGTTGCGAGTTTAAACAATGTTAAAAATTCAGCAACTTGCAAGACTCTACTATAAGATAAATTTAGATAATAAGAATACTATGGCTGTATGGATAAATACAACAGCCTTACAAATTAGGATAGGCCTGATGGTAAAGTTGTATACAATTAAATTAAATAAACTTTTGAAACCCATAAATTGTCAAAAAATGTCTGGGGCTTCGGCCCTCCTAGACCACTTTCGGAAAATTTTAAGCGACGCTCAATCACACCCACTTTGCTCTCGTCAAGGAAATCTTTCCCCTCGTCGGAGCATTGCCCCCACCCACTCCGACCTAGGACCCCCCTCGGGCAAATCCTGTCGCCACCCCAGGTAAGAAAGAACATACGAGAGGTAGAATAATAATAGTTATTCGAGTTTAAATAATGTTATTTAGACAGTGCATGATATGGACGTGCGGTACGGATATGCACACAAATCATACGACGTCACTGACAACGCCGGGGACGGCAACTCGATTTTGAGATTAATTTTCCGAATAAATTTATACTAAATAACTCTTAATGACGAACTATTGTCTTCAGTTGTCTTTTCTGGTCATCCAACTGTCATTTTATCTATTTTTTTCGGTGATATTACCATTCTCAATAATTTATAAAACACCCACATAACAACGTCATGTTAGATCGATCATTGGGGACGCTGTGGTGACGCCGGTAGGGTCAATTTTCGTCGGAAGGTATCAACAGTTTCATTGGACTAAATTCTTGCTTATGTTAACCATGCTTTCCTAAGATTATACTGACACTGGTTTCAAATGAAATAACTGACAACTTTGTTTTGTATCAATGTTTTAATAAGTACAGTACATAAATCTATGTCACAAATACGTATGATGATGCAAAAATGCACAGGGACACCACGCTGTTTTTGTGTTTTTCTTGAAATCTGTATGTGTGATCACCATCATCATACACATTATAATAGATTCAAGTAAGATGTTTCAAATGATATAAAAATGGATGCAAACATGCCTTTGGAACATTTTTTTTTCCGAGTTTTATTTACCTTAACGTCTACTCCGTCTTAGAAAGCACCAGGATTAATCACACCAGGATTAATCACCACGCTGTTTTTGTTTTTTTCTTGAAATCTGTATGCCTGATCACCATCATCATACACAATATAATAGATTCAAGTAAGATGTTTCAAACGAAAATTCATCGTAGCCATTATTAATTATTATTAATACTGTCCCGGCGTCATTCCTTGAATTGGGACGGTACGTACTACTTTACCACTTGAGTCCACGATGTAAGGCCTACACATGACATGGGTCATATCATGTAAAGATAATTATTCTTCCCGAATTATAATTTGTATTTTTAATGTATTACTATAGGTCCCTGCATTCAACAATTATGTGGATATTCATTGTACTGTTATTTACTATCAACTATTGCCCCGGCGTCACTAATGTTTTAATTGATTTAATATGCTGAAATCATTATTAATGGTATATATATTTCTATAAATTAATCAACAAATGTCTCATTAATCACATTAGGCCTATTGAAGTATGAAGTATTATTAATTCTTTATTAAAACATTATTCGAGCCCCT